CTCTGGCTTACACTGCAGCTGTAACACAAGGCTAATATCTTTAGGCTATTGGTTTGAATCATAAAAATATGAAAATACATGAAATATGGACCTTTTCTGTGCAGTGCGCTCTTCTTCACGATGTCCTGCAAACTGGCTGAGCACAGAGCCAGCAGGGCCGGCAGCAACAACACTGACAGCTTCATCTGGAAATGAAATACAAAATGTTTTCAGGCAAACTCAACATGTGAAATAAGTTCTGATCAGAATATTTCACCCTTCAAAAGCCGCCCGTATGATCTCTTGTTTTTCACCATAACACATTTTATCTACAACCTATATCCTGTTACAACACATCAGCACACATCAGTGTCAAACTACACAATACTAGACAATAGTGGTACGCCAAAAGTTTATACTTTATAAGTTTATATACTTTATACTGTCATAAGAATAGCACTATAACCAATTTATACAAATTGACTGTGATAATCAATGATTGTCCTGAGTCTGACTGAAGGTGAAAAGAGACTGAACAGCACTCACCCTTACAGTCGCTCCCCGCTGAGACCCATACAGTCGGTCACCTCCAGGTTTATATGTGCTGGTTTATGGCTGAACCATAAAGCACACTGTGCACTTTCACTCTGACAGACATTGACCAATAAACACAAAGCGGTGCAGTGGGTTTGTGAGCAGCTGTCAGTGTCTCTCTCAGAATAAGATGAGATTCAGTTTCCCTAAAAATGCAATTTTTCATCCCTGTTAGCTTGTCTGCTCCTTTCTCTGCAAAAGTGTATTAATGGATTTCTGTTATATTTAGTGGACTGAACTCTGGCCAGTTATGACAATGAAACTTTGGTAGATGTAGTCATGATTTCTATCAGTAGACAATTACTGTTACTAATGATTATCTAATGCTGTGGACGCTTCAGTCCAAGCAGACTTACAATGCATGTAACAGGTGTAAATTGTAAACTGATGCAGTTTCCTGGAGCTTCAACAGGGGCACAGCAGGAGGACACCAAGCACGTCATATGTAGACGTGAAAGTCCACTGACCAAACGACAATATTTCACGAGTTGGGATGAGAACGTGTTAAAGTTTCAGATGAAAAAATAAAAAGAATGGTTGGATGTCGTCAGCGTAGCCGTGGAGGGAGAAATCTAAATGTAAGGATATTTGTTTCTGTGGCCATGAAAATATGTTAAATTCAAATTTAAAATGAAGGAGTGACACGTTTAGCTGTAACAGTAATTTGTATAACTGTTACACATTAGTGGAGGTTTGGGATTTTTTAATGTTAAAAATGTTTTGTACTACGAAAACAGCCTCTTCCTATGTGTGAAACAAAAACTTAACCTGTTTTGTTAGCCGATCCGAAGTAAACAGTAACAGACTTTTGGAAAATGGTGATGCTGAGGGGAGAATTCACAAAGAATGGATTGTGGCCACTGATAAAACATCAGCATCAGTTTTACACCTAAGTGGCACCAACCCTCTGAAGATGGTGATAATGTCACTGTAACCGTGTGTGGCTGTCAGCACTGACCTTCTCACACTCATTTGCACAGAGAAGCGGGAAACTTGGCACTAAAGGTATGTTACCATGCTAGACTCAGAGGGCTACGATTCAATGATAAAATAATATTGATGCATTATTTTCACTGTGTGACTGCTTGATACTTTAAAAACAGCAACAGCATACAATATGTACAGCATACAATAGTGAAGCTCGTTGTTGATATTGATGGCATAGTAGTACCTGGCAAGGAGAGACAGATGAAGCCCATCAGCTGCTTCCTGCAACATTAGCCGCTGAAGCAATCCACTGTAAAATGCCTTGCACATAATCTGGAGCTGTCATAGTTACTACATCCCATGGCATTTCAAGGAAAGGAAGACACAGTAGCAAACCATGTTGTTGCTAGCTAGCTAATTAGCTAGCTAGTTTGCCAAAAGTTATGTGATGATATTATGGGTTGAAGTTGGTTGGTGCTAGTTCCCGTAAGCACACGTCACATTTCAGCCCATTGTCAACCCAACTCAAATATTGATGCCTGGACAGTGGACTTTGGCAGCAGACACCGACACACACAGGCACCCTTAGGATGTTATCGATTTATAACGGGAACTGCCCATTGGTCCAACAGCCCATTGTTCCGACCATATTAAACCCATTGTTCCGAAGTCCGTTCCGAAATCATCATGATGCCCTGTGGTTAAGGTCTGGTTAGGTTTAGGCACAAAAACCACTTGGTTAGGGTCAGGAAAAGATCATGGTGTGGGTTAAAATGAAAAACAAAGTGACAAACACATAAGCTGTGAGCCTGCTCCGCCTCAAGCCTTTCCCAGCTGACCCAGAGCCGGTCGCGGCGCACCATCAAGGCAGAAATACGCCCGCCGGGAGCCGTTAAGCACCGCAGACCGTCGGACCAATGGGCTGTCGGACCAATGACATGGACCCTTTATAACGATGCATCAAAACTTAAGATTTAGGCATGATTTATTTTCTTACTGTGTGACTGCTTGATTAAATTTACAGATGAATTTACTTGCACGCTATCTGAATCTTGTCCAGCTCCTTTCCTATTTAGCCTTACAGCCAAAATGCTTCCATACCTGAGCTCTCAAACCAGTCGGATTGCATCCATCTGTGGTTGCTCATGCTAACCCATTGTGGGATATTTATGCTGCTGTAGTGGCAAGTGTTCACATACTGTAATATTTCCCTAGAAACAGTATGGAATTTGCATACTGTTGAATGATAATGGTTTACAGCCTTTTTATTGTAAAAGTAACTGCATTCATTGATAACTTAATTTGAAAGCACCTTACAGTCTCCTGCCTGTATGCCAATAACAACATAACGTGCTCCGCTGAGTTGTTTTAATGTTTCCAGCAGTGGGGAGCAGCTTCTCTGCTGCACCTGAAAGCGTTTTCAAGGACAAATGGACTGAGCAGAGTTATATTCCTCTTCACAGAGGTGTTTTAAGTTGGTTAAGTTGGTCAGCTGCTCTCATTTGTTAAAGTTACTGCTGATTGCTGGCCCAGTGTCTGGGTGGTGACGTGTTTAAGTATTCACAATATACTTAATGTTTGTCCCTAAAATATAATTATGTAGGTATATAATTAAAACATGCTTTCAACTGCTGCCTTTTGTAAAGATGAACTACAAGTAAACTCTAGCATGTCCACGCTGTAGACTGTACTGACTGCACTGATCTTACAGTTGAGTTCCGTCAACATCACATTATTACTAAACATTTAGATAACTGATTATTGACATTTGTGAATCGAAGACGAATTGTTTACATCTGCATCACAGTGCATCTAAGAATCGATTACATCCCCCATTGCAAACATGTCAATATTTGACAAGGATGAGAAAGTGCTGCATATTTTGTGATGATTGGATTTTGATATTAGAATACCATTTTCTTTTCTTGCATCATGTTAAATAAGTGCACAAAATGTCTGCGGACATGATCTCAAAGGGTTTAAAAGGCATTCTTCTCATTTCATCTGGACTTTAACAAAATAAAGGTGAAGACAGACAAATCTGAAGACGTCTATTTGCACTTTTCTCTATCATTTACAACAAGCGTGCTGTTGTGTTCGTGCTCATCTCACTACACATTATGAAATGATTGCCGGATAAGATTTGGGATTATTAACGAGTAAAGAAAAACACACTGATAAGGCGATAACTTATCAGTTAGCTCTGTCCTCCAAACGATCATACTGTATCAGTGACCTTTAGTCTATCAGGCATTCATTACAGTGCTTGTCAAAAGTCATCTGTCCCTCTGACTGACATCTAATAAACCTTATGAAATCCAAATCTCTTCACAAACACAGTAATCTTTAAATCACCCATGTAAACCTAAGTGTGCTACCTCTTCTTCACCATCATCTTCATCATCATGCTCTTAACATCGACCCAGACCTTAAAGGAATACAAAAAGCATTTTGGGTATCCTGTGGTTTCATTTCATTTCTTTTCTTTTCATTTATTTATGTGAATCAAGACCATGATAATATGGTGTGGAGCACAAACTAACATACAGTAAAAACAAAATGATGGCACAGAGCACGGCTACAGCACATCAAACGTTACTGCAGTCAGTGGAGATTTATTTTACAGTCAACAATAATTTATTACAAAATGCTCAATAATTGTCGTCTTCCAAAACACTGTCTTTCCAAAATAATCCACAACTACTTAGTATTTTGTTGTTGGTTTTTTTTTTTTTTTTGTGGAGTGACATCACTTTTCTTGTGCTGTTTTCAGACGTTTTCTTTCAAAAACATGGGGAAAAAAGGCAAAGAGCAACTTGGTCAACTTGGACCCACAAATTGCAAAAAACAAATAAAAAGATTTTGAAAAATATAAAAATAAACCTGGGGAAAAACAAATAGGGAAAACTATGTTTTTATCATAATTACATTTAAAAATGATTTTACAAAATTATCATTTTCTCTCTCTCTCTTTCACTTTTTTTTTTGTTACTAATTTCTTGCATTTCTTTTTCATTGCTCATTGCCGTCTTCCCATGTAAAAAAATCAAGCCAATTTACTCAGGTTTCATTGGGTTAAGTAAATTATGATACTAACACCCATCATGCAATCCACGAGGATTACACGATACACAAATACCACAAGTTTATGATCTGCGTGAAGCTTTGGTTACGTGATGTGTGAAATCTACGATCATGTTCGATCATTTCTGCACTGCTGTATGGGAGAATGAGCTGTGGACTGGTGGGCCAGTTACACTGTGGGTTGAGCAGTTAGTGATCTGTCACTGCCACCTTCTGGATGTCTCAGCTCAGCTCCAGGCTCATTTCACTGGACTCATTATGTTGGCATGTTAATGGGGGATGTGTCTCTGAACTTCCTCTGGGGACTATTTCTTCGGCAGACAGAATTTCTAACATGATAATGATGATAATTTTCAGTAATCCATCTAATAGTTGGTGAGTCAAAACAGAAACTAATGGAAGAAAATTAAAATGAATTAGTTTTGTCTGACAACATTTATTGAGGCACACTGAATCATAAAAACACAGAATAAACTGATCTTTTGAACACTTAAACCAATACATATTTGAAATGTTTTAATACACAGTAAAATAAATGATTTTGTCATCCAGGATCTGGCAGCAGTTTTACAGTACATGAATTTTAAGCCGTTAATGATAGCACTGATAAACAGTGGAGAGAGTGACAGACCACAACAAAAGCAGTATTCAATAAGGGTCCAATTTACAAAGAACTTTGAACTACTCTAGTATGTAAGTAAGTATGGCTCGTGCTCAATGATCTCATGCTGCATTTCCAGTGGTTCCCAATCCAACCCTTTAAAACAAAGCAATGTATTCTTGACCACTTAAAAGTGGCTGCAATATGGAATCCAACAAGTAAAAATGACAAAGATTAGAAGAAAGTCTGAAAAAACAGACATCATTTTGTGTAGAAAACATGTCTGGGAGCAGGTGTGTAGATGAGTGGGGCAGTCAGGTAGAGGGGAAGTGGAGGAAAGTCTGAGGACATCTAGTGGATGGATGGCGCACTGTCATGGAACATGGGGATGACTGATTTGTTTCACGGAGATATCTGCAGTCGGCCTTGAGTTGGAATAAATTTTATGCCAAAAATAAAGACATGAGTGAAAATTACAATGAAATGTCTTCAATAAAAGATCATAAACAAATGCTTTTTATATGAAAATGTCCACTATCCAATTGAGTTTACCCATAAAGTTCTGTCAGGCTTTATTTCTAGCGCCATCTGCTTTTAAACATCGCAGCTCCGGTTACATTACACACATGTCATAACCAGACTGCGTACCTGCCATCTTTGAATAGCCTTGAGACAGACACACTTTCAGTGACAAGGGCTGGCGTTGGGTACAGGTGGACAGCGGTCCACTTCGGCCCAGACTTCTCCCATTTGGACACCGTGGTAAGTCCCAGTGATGGTGGTCCAGCGGGTTTGCCCGTTGCGGTATTTGCGTGTCAGTTGGGCTGTGTATGGGATGTCTGCTTTGTACTTATATCCCACCATACGGGTTCTGCAGTAGTGGTTGGGTGGAACATCAAACTCCACAGACACAGAGTGAGTGTTTTCCTTGGTGACAGACTTCCCCTTTGAGGTCTGGAATGTTGTCTCAGCACTAAACCCAAATTCTCCGTCTCTGCGAAAGGGGATGCGGGTCTTGATGGAACTTGTGACACCGACAGTGAAGGTAAAACTGGTTTCCCAACTGTGCTCTGTCTGGCTTTTCTCTGAAAGCATGACTGTTTTCACAACATTACGGCATGCCCTGTTGGAGATGGCAGACAGACGCATGGTCTCTGGGGCATACTGGAAGACTTTGGCTCTATCAGTCTTGTACCTGACATCAGAGATATGCTCACTGACTATGCCGCTACTGACGGTCAGGACCTGGTACCTCCTCTTGTACCAATACGCTTTACGTTTCCAGGGAAGGAAGAAGGCCTTGGATTTAGGATGCACCTTCCCAAGCCCAAACTTGTTCTTTCCGACATAAATGCCCCCCCGAGAGCAGGTCCCAACTGAATTCTGGGGCAGTTTACCAAAAGAACTAGCCTTCCACTCCAGAAACTCAATGTTATCCCTGTTAACAAGGATCTCAAATGGAGCAGAACGGTGTGCTCGTCTCGAGAAGGGGTAGTTGCAGTAAGGACCCATTTTGGGGTTGTAGAAACCGGCCTCACACTTGTATTTGCAGACGTAGTCGTAGCGGCGGGTATAACTATTGTATATTGAAACAGCTCCATTTGGAAGAAAGCCACGCCAGGTCTGCCATTCCAGGTTGCCGATTCTGAAGGGCTGAGGCTGACTTTGCCTGTTCTCGAGCTCAGGGGGAGGAAAGAGAAAGGCTTCATCTGTTAGCATCGAGTCATTGGCGCTGATTTCAGGAATCCTTTCTCCTAGCTCCGGATCCAGTAATGAGTCTGTGTGTGGAAAAAAAAAGGACACAGAAACAGTAACTCTTTTCTGCCGCCATCTTGTAATCTTACAGTCTTGTCTTGCCAACTGTAACTTGATCAGTCTTGTTATTCATTTCTTTGTTGTGTTTTTATGATGTTTTTTCCGTCTTATCATTTGTCCTTCAATTTGGATTCTGGCAAACTCCCATGTGTTTTACAGTGTACAATCTTGTGCAACATATCTATTATTACGACTCAACTCAAGACACTTTAACTACCATTAAACACTGAATGCTTTTTACTATCCAGTGTGGCTACGCTCACCGGGTCTGGTTGCCAATGAGGCTGCAAAGCAGGTCATTTTTTCAAGTTCTCTGGATGAATAAAACCTCTTAAAGGCCACCAGGTTTCTGGCTACACGCTTGAGCTAGTGCTAAGCTGCTTAGACCATGAATATGATTGTGCTACACACATCAGGGATTGACGCTGACTTTTTTCCCAAGGAGCACATGTGCTCCTAAGTTGAAAAAGTAAGGAGCGCACAAAGAACTTTAGGGGCACAATGTAAATTGATCAAATAATGTGTTTTCCGTAATAAACGTGATGCAAATAGACATTTACAAGCAAAATTATTTAATGAATTTGTATACAAAATGCACAGAAAGGTAAAATCATCAAGTATTGCAATTAAATTTTGTCTTTAATGTTATTATGTTATATATATATATTATCTTTGCAATATGATTATCGTATATAATGTTATTACTATCCTAAAACATTCTCCAGGTCCTCTGAAACTCTGCAGGACTTATTTCCACCCTGCCCAGCAGCGCTACCGTGGAGAACGGTCCCTAACTGCTGGGAGAACGGAGCAGGCTTCCCCGGAGGTCCACCGCTTTTCCCGGTCCGTCTCCTCCACACTTTGACTTATTTCCACCCCGCCGACAGTGGGACTTATATTCATTGTGCCGACAGTGGGACTTATATTCATTGTGCGGACAGTGGCTTGGAAAACCGCCCATAACCATGTCACACGGGGAAGAGGGAAGAGGGAAGGCTGCTGGAGTTCCTCCAACATTTGCGGTTAGATTATCATATTTTTTTATTGACAAAAATATAGGCTGATTTTTTTATGCGCACATGTGCCCCTAAATATTTTTTACAGTTCGCACACACCTATTTTTAGTCGCAAATGCGAGTGAAATGCTCGCACTGTCGAGTGCTGCACATTGTCAGCTTCATTAGATGCTCCACAATTCAGTTGTCAATTTGTTGAAACCATGAGCACCAGAGAAGACCATAATTCGTCCGTCCTGTGTCCATTCCTTGATTATTTATATCCCTTTAGTCTGTAAAGGTCCACTGATCAAAAGAATCAGAAGTGCTTTTCTACATCATTATGACCTCCTTCATCGTCACCTGGTTTATTGGACACATGGAAGTATGAGGGCAGTGACGTTTACAACATCTGAAACAGACGTATCTATTTTTATTATGTAAAGGGAGTTATAAATGAGTCCTAGCATAACTGTGTCTCTAGTGCAGCCTGTTGAAGCTAGATCAAATGAATGATGAAAATTTGCCTTTTAGGTGACATGACAAACACAAACAAAATTTCTTTCACATTGTACGTTTCTCCAAACTACAAATACTTTAAGTTTTATGATACAGCGAAACTTCACATTTCTTCACGCTTTAGCATTGCTATGGTGAATGTCTGGCTAATGTCCAGGCACAAAAACCACTCACTTATGGTTAGGAAAAGATGTTTTGGCTTAAAATACCCACATTTGGTCACACAAATACCATTGTATTCTCATAGAATGATTTGTATGATATCCTACAAACTAGCAGCACCCCACAAATGACGTTACGTCCTTAACGTAAAGTTATGTAATAAAGTAAAGTCACGGAGGTTAGGTTTAGGCAATAAAACGTACTGTGGTTAGGTTTAGGAAAGAAACATGGTGAGGACATATCTTAAAATCACTCAAAATTTACACTGAGCCCAACATGTGAGTCCAGGGGAGAGCACTTGGTTACAGTCTGGCTTTCTGTCAACCATCCACCCCCTGCATCCTTATAAGTGCTTGGAACGGCTTCCTTGTTTACTGCTGTCAGTGCATTGGTCATCACTGGTGATCACAGCATTTCAAAATACGTGGGCTATGTACGAATTTGGGTGCATTGCTTTTCATTAGGAAAACGTATGAAAGATTTGTGAGAACAGCCTGCAAATGTTGCTGGAAACGTGGCAACAGGTTGCATACAAATGTAACATATCCTTGATTTGCAGAAACATACAATGCCAACATTTTCTTTTGGCGACTGGTCTACAAACAAACAAATAAAATACATAACTTTTGAAGACATAAACAACAGAAAATTAATAACCCATAATTACCATTGATGTACGCTGCGCTGGTCACAGTGTCAAGAAAACTGGCTGAGGACAGAGTCAGCAGGGTCAGCAGCAACAACACTGACTTCATCTGGAGATAAAACACAAAACAAAATCACTGTGGGTTACCATATGTTTATCACATGCCATTTAACCAGCACTGGTGAGAAATTTAACTGCTGAGCATGTTGCATGTCTTATGGAGAAGTACATAGGAAGCAAAACTGAAAAGAAAAAGGAGGCACATAGGCATTAAGGAAAGATTACAGAGATATAAAATGATGTAGCAAGGCTTCTTGAATGTCAGCAGGTTTAACTTCCTCATCTACAGTTAGGAAATTTAGGAAAAGTGGATGCAGGGATGAAACATGACAAAACAAAACAAGTAAATAATAAAATAATAGCTGATAAAAACAAATAGAGGCGAGTCAATAAAGTAAAAAAGTGAATGCATTCACATTAGCTTCAAGTTGCATTATTGAGTTAAACATTTTCTTGCTGCCATTAAAATAATATTTAACAATGTAAATGTTCAAAGTTTTTTAAACCAAATGGAAAACATACTAAATCAAATGCACTGAGGTAGAAGTACAGCGAAAGTACTCACCGTTACAGTCGTCTTAACTTTGATCACCTCCTGCTGAATCCAGGTTTATATAGCTGCATAAAACAAACCACGCAGTTTCACTTTGACACAGCCCTGAACTTTACCACCAAACAACAACAACAACTGGTCCAATAAGATGAGAGAGAAAATCTGTAAGTGTTTTTGTGTGTGTGTGCTTGAGTGTCACTGTCATTTTCAGGTTGGATTTTCCAGTTTTCCTCCAATTTTCCTTCATCAAGGATGTTGTTTTCACAGTTATTCCTCTTATCGTTTGTTCAAACGTGTCTTGGTGTTACCAAACACAGAGGAAAAAGGAAAATGCTGAAAAAAAAAATTGCAGCCTGTATTTTGAACTGTTGTGTAAATGGTAAACATGGTTTCCTGTCTCGTTTCTGTTGAAGATTAAAGGGATAGTGCACCCAGAAATGAAAATGAAAAAACGCGGAGCACAGAAAAGTAGTCAGAGCTACAGGCTACAGTGAGGCTAAAAACAGAGTTCAAATGACGTTTTTCCAAACAACTTTTTATGTCGGGGCTGCAGCACACTTGGATCACTACGGATGAGCAGTATGGAGATATTTTGTGGATTCAATTTTGTGTTCTTGGACGTTAGTCTGGAGCGCTGTCTGCCATTAGGTGTGCTAGCCGCTCCCCCCGCCGATCTCTACAAGGGATGTGAGGACTCTAAAACTTCACCAGGGCCTCCATCAGTATATAGGTGAGTAGATAATGGCTGAATTTTCATTTTTGGGTGCACTATCCCTTTAACTTGGCCGTATAAACTTTTCTTTGGCGATTATGCGACATACACACAAGAAACCAGATTACAGGTTAGAGCGAGAGATCTGATATACTGTTTAAAGGAACAGTGTGTAAGATTTAAGGGGATTTAGTGGCATCTACTGTAGCGGTGAGGATTGCAGATTGCAACCAGCTCCTGGTTAGAATTCCCTCAGTGTCTATTGTTCAGGAGGTTTTTACCGGGAGCTGAATTATCCACAGAGGTCTCTACCTCTCCACAACAAATGGACCAGTGTGACGAATGTGAATATCCCTCTCTGGAGCCTTTGGTTTGTACGTTCTGGGCTATTGTGGAAACATGGCGGTGCAACATGGCTCTGTACAAGATGGACAGATGAAATCACCAAACTGGAAACAGCAGACCAAATGTTGGACTGTTCCTTTTAATGCTGCCAAACTGCATTTACGTTTGGCAGTAGAGGTTTCTGACTGAAATAACTGAGCAGTGGAATATCTGGGCAAAAAGACAAACAGAGAAAACACCTATGATAGCTTATTCTCCATCACATTAAATGTGTTCATGGGAAGCATAAAAGGGCTGAGGAAAAAAGAAAGAAATCCACAAATGTCTCATGAAAAATGTTGCATGACTCATGAAAGAAAAAAGTTGCTCTTCAAATTTTCAGATGTTCAGAGAGGGGCTGAACAATATGATCATAAATGATCTACATGTAAACAAACCTCTCCACTTCCTGAAGAGAAAGAAGTTGCCCTTTCCCTTTATAAATTATAGTCCAGTAAAGACTGTAAATGATTCACCTATTAAAGAAAACAGAAAGTTACAGGTATATTAGACCTGCAGTAATCAATCTGTAATCAGGGCTGTTGTCTCCTGGCTTCCTCAGTTGGCATTTGTGCCTTCAAATTAACTCACGTGTCACTCGACAATAACGGTAAATTAAGCTTAATAATTAAGTTGGTCTGGCGTGCATTCTTGCACGTGTGAACTTTGTTACACACGTGCAAACTGCCTCTGAAGCTACGACGTTTCATTTTGTATATTAACACGTTATATACACAACACGTACATCAGGCCGCTAAGGATTTATTGGAAGGTGTGAAACGACTTGGTTAAAGAGTGACTTTGGTATTTTTCAACCTGAAACCTTTTTTCCACATGTTTTTGTGTCCGAACTACAAAATGGGAAGAACGATTTTTGAAAAACACCAGGCTCTTGGATGAAGGTCAGGGATTTGATGGACCCCTCCCAGCCACTCTATAGGGACTTGCCAGCTCCTTATATTACGCCGTTACTGGCAGTTTGAAACTGACGCGTCCGACAGGGTATCATACTGCCACAACAGCCTAACTAGCATCAAAGAGCATGGATACCAAGAGGCGAAGCTCCGTTGAATTTTTGCCAACAGCCACTAGGGGGGCTGCGGTAGCGCTGCCGCCATTTTAGACTGTTGAGCTTGGACTGTTGCGCCCAGACAACATGCAAGATGTCAAGGAGAGAGGATTAAAAAAGTAAAAGAAAACAGTGTAGTGCAATTAATTGCTATAACTATCAGTGGAACACCCTGCACCTGGCCTTCCACCGTTTCCCGAAGGATCCCGACAGGTAAGAACTCCTGAGGTGTAAGTTTTAAAGTATTTTAATATCAATTTAATATGCCAGTTTTGGAGGGAAGATAACACTTACAAAACTGCACTTGCCAATGCACTGAAACGGGAGTTATAGTAATCACATTATTTTTATTCACATGGATGAGCTTTTATTTGTTATAATGCTTTTTTTAATATAAAATGTTAGAAGAGAAAGCAACGGATGAAAAAGAGTTTATCATTAAAATATATATGTTATTATTTTATTATTTCTGTCCCCTATGAAAG